GAAAGATTCGAGACGTCAGCCAATAAGAAAAGTCGTTTCAGAGGCGAAACAAGTTATTACATTTAGATAAACAATTACAAACATTTTTGGAAGCACAATAAGACCAAGAATGTGCATTAACCCTCTTAGCGCCAAAGTCGCAAAATTGCGACAAGACGTCATACTTAATCAAATAGACTGTAGTTCCTAATATGGTGTAATATCTTATTTGTATTCCCTACCACTATATGGCGGACATGTAGTACTTCGATTCTAGACCAAAATTACGTTACCTTCCTATTCAAAGTGTTTGAGGAAATAGCAGAGCAAGTGAGCTATCGTGTCATTGATGCGGAAGCAGTTCAGTTCATAGCGTGCGGGTAAGCTGTGAGATTTGTGAGAGAAAATCGCCAAATGCCTAATAAAAAGTTGTACCGTGAGTGTGTGTTGCAAATGTTATTCAACGATTCTGACTCTGAAAGGGAATATTTGCCTTTTGGAAATGACGATCGGTCGTCTAATAATCGGACTTCTCCCGGTACATCTTTGCAGCGCAATGGTGCCGCCGTGCAAGGTGAGAGTGTTCACGAAGCACAAACAAGTGATCATTTCGACCCTTTGCCCAACGGGGATGGGGGTGGCAGGGCAATATCTATTATTTCCTGAATATTACTGATGAACTGATCAAACAGTAGGCTACTGTTAACATGCGTTTTACTACTATATAGTATAGTAATACAGTAATAATTTAGTACTTTTTCCTGTTTTATTGTTGGTTTCCTCTTTTCTGATCAGTTGGAATGAGGATAAAAAGACATGCAAATAAGTTCAAACATCCATTCAATATCTATTATTTCCTGAATAGTATGACATTCAAGAGGGTGATGACGTCATAATATGCAAATTAGATGAGTATATTTACACCCCACATAAACTTTCGGTCATGCCCAACATTTTTCTAATTTACATTAGATCTCTATCTTTAAGCCCTTTCAAGCCACAAACTTTTGAAATCTTGATGTCAAAATCCCGCATTTTTCCAAAAAACCCTGGCGCCTAAAGGGTTAAGAAAGTAAATATAGGGTCCATTTTGATTTCATGTTGACTTTAAAACAAAATATTCTGCAGTGACTACAGTCCTCAATGCATTGTGCGTAGGCCGAACATCTCAGTCACGGTTATTAATGAAATACTCACAGGAATGTGAATGAGATTAATATGGAGTCGTAAAGGGAGAACAGCTGCTGCCATGGAAGTTGTGACTACAAATAAAACTATAATGAACTCATAAAAAAGGCATGATGAAATTGAAAGATTCAACACTGCAGATGAGTACAGCGTATAGAATATTTAAAGCCGCAGTGTGTCATTTCTGCACCACTGGTGGCACCAGACCAGGTAGCCTCAAACTCACCTCACTGTTTGAGCCAGAAGTTGGCAAGTTGAACACCACAGTGTTTACACTCCCTGCAAACAATTACCTGCAACTGTCTTGCACAAAAATGAAAAAAAAAATAATAATAATAATAAAAATACACATATGAAATACATCACACCAACAATCCCTCTTCATAAGTATCATTTGGATACTTCAATATCTGTGAGCTCTCCCACAAACAGAGAGGGAGAGAGACAGACGTTCAACGACCTCCGGATGGAATGATCCATCAAAGGATAGATGTTGCCATAGAGGAGGGATCTATCATCAATGGGCACATGCAATGCGGAAACAATCCCCAGGCATTGCCAAACAGAGGTCGGATAGAACAAATAAGGCTTTCAGTGCATGTTCTGCTGGCGACCTTTGGACAGCGAGAAGGAGAGAGGAGACGTGCAACTTTACGAAAATTATGTTTTCTGAAGAGAAACTTCCATCTGTACAGAAACGAGGGGATGTGAACTCATATGGAAATGTTTCACAAATGGGATGTACTTAATAGCTTGAGTGTTTCTCCAAAAGAGAAAATGGATGCTTTTGATAAAGTTTCCTGCTTCCCATATTTTTTTTTCCTAAGAAAATGACTATATTAATCTCACAAGCATGTTCAGAAGAGATCCCATTCCATAAAATAGCAGATATTGCAAATTAACTGAAACTCCAAACTTAAAGGGGTCATATGACGTTGCTAAAAAAGAACATTATTTTGTGTATTTGGTGTAATGAAATGTGTTTATGTGGTTTAAGTTGAAAAAAAACACATTATTTTCCACATACTGTACATTATTGTTTTTTCCTCTATGCCCCGCCTTTCTGAAACGCGTAAATTTTTACAAAGCTCATCGTTCTGAAAAGCGAGGTGTGCTCTGATTGGCCAGCTATCCAGTGTGTTGTGATTGACTGAATACCTTCAAGTCTGCATTTGTGATCAGAGAAACGACAAACAACAAGCACTACTCAACACTGCTCAAAACTCGCGTTTGAATCATCAGTGGCAATCTATTCACAAACAGCTTGTAACACTCCCAAGGAGAAAGGAAAACTTGAAATCGCATCATATGACCCCTTTAATAATAAAAAAAATCGTCATCTTTATACCTGTACACTATTGGCATTCATTTTACACTTCTTTTCTCTTAACCATGTAAAGCCTCCCCCCCCCAAATAGAATAGTTTTATTGAATTAGACTAAACTAAACTAAACTAAAATTTGCATGTGTTTTTTGTTGAGTATCATATTTGATACATGAGGATTTTTATGGCTCATATAGTATTAAATAAAACAATACGAAAATCATAATCAAGGAAAACACACACACACACACACACACAAAGACCATTCTAATTTTGACAAAACGTACTACTTAATGTCAGTTGTCACTCTACATCTCCCAATAATAAGTCTTAGTAAGATGATTTTTAAATGCTTAAGTTTTATGATCAAAGTTCTGTAGTTTTCATCATCGGGGGACAAAATATACTGTATATTGTGAAGAATGCAATACAATGATAATGTTATGGATAATAAATTAAACCTAAGTTGACTCTGTCCAGTAAGTGTTCATCTTGAAATATTACTAACAATATAAAAGTATTTACTTTGAAAAATAAGCTAAGATTTCACTGCAAAAAGACACGTGTACCACATCCTGAAGGGGTCGTTTTTTTTTATTATACTAAACGATCTGTACTTGCTCAAATGAAAATCTCCTGGAGAAACATCTAAGACAAAGTTGAGACTTGTGTGAAATATAATAGATAAACTATAAACAAGCAATACAATTTACCACTGCAAAGTACCAAAGTTCTGTAAACTCACATCGTGACCTACTGCTGAACTCTCACCATTTCCTGCACTGCCGTTTTGAAAACGATCAACAGCATCTCTTCCAAAAGCAGACGTGCTCTATACATATAAGTGGCGGACATTTCCCGCCTGCAGAATATTTTCCTTCACCACTCCTCATTCAATATCAGCCATTCAGACTTCCATTAATGCATTGCTTGTGCCTGCGGAGCGTATCATCAAAACCTGCCACGGAATGAGATGACATCACCACATCCACAACACATCACCAGAAACTCCAGCTGAGACGCGGCGGGATGACGAAGGTCTGAAAGTTTAGACGCAAACACACCCACGCACACAAATAAATGCAATGACGGAGAAAAGCCAAGCCGTCGACTCCAGCGTGCAAAGCTATGCATGTTAGAAGCTCCCCGTTGAAGCAGGCGTACAAGCTATTATCAGAACAAAACTGCAGAAGCCTCCGCTCTCTTCAAATATTGGACCAATTTTGAGGTTCTGCTCGGCAATCTAGAGCAGCATGACCTCCTTTAATTGTCGTCTTTTGTTCTTAATGTATTGCAAAGCCTGAAAGAGCGAACTACAGGTGTTTGATATGACAATTAGAGTGAAGGCAGAGGAGCGGCTCCAGTTTTGCTCTGTTTTCGTTTGTAGTTCTTGTTTTCACCCAAGTAAAGGCGGAGAAGACGGAGAAGATGTGGTGAGGCGAAAGTAGCTTGGAGAAATGTGAGTTTGTTGCAAAGTGCCTGTGATCAATACTAAAGAGGCAACAAAACTGTGATGCTATTTTGGGGAGAAAATGACAGAGTGCTTTATTCTGTATCTGAGCATCTGTCTGTGTGTGAGTGAATTTTGTGGCTGCTTGGCAGCGTAGCCTGATGTGTGATGTGACTGTGAGCAATTAAAGAAAAGGAAATGACAGCAATTTCTTCTTCTTCAATGTCAGGTCGTACCGTAGGTAGGAGGCCAACCTCCAGAAATGCAGCAGTGCAAAAAAAAATGCAGGCTTCAACATGCACAAAACGTATTTAGACACTAAAGCCACACGTCAAATGTTTGAATGTCATTTGCATTAGATAATAAACTAACAAATCAAATAGCAGTTGTTTTAAAAACAGCACAATTACACTTTGTTTAACCATTGGATTACAAATTAAATAAAAATAACTTTCTGACTGTCAATCAATTTTGGATTAAGAGACAGGCAAATGCCTTTTTATTTAGACTGCCAAAGGAAAATTACATCTGAATTATGTCAATCTTATATAGTGAAGAAAACCAATTAAATATAATCCAATTTTATTTTATTGCTGTTTTTTTTTCTTTCATTTTGAGATTTATTGTAATTTATTTTGTTGACATAAAAAAAATGAATATACTTTATAGAGAATATACATTTATAAAATATAAATAAATATACTTTTCTGGAGAAAAACAAGAGAACAAAGAACTAACAAAAAGTTTTTTTTATATATATATTTATTTATTTATTTATTTATTATTCAGTGATCATCAGTGCTCCATTGCATCAAAACGTTCAAAAACCCTTGGCTTTAGTGTTCAAATACTTTTTGTAGCCACTGTATCTGTGTGTTTGATGAAGAGTGTTCAACGAAATTGTAAATGAGCTCGTAAAATAAAGAATTCTTATTGTAATTCTCTTTTTACTGTTCAATTCCTACAAAACTCACATTTCTGGAGCTACAATCACCAGATTAAAGCTTTTCCAGCACCAACACACGCACTTGATAACTCAGATAAGCATCCGTAACTTACCCGTCACGTTGACCTCTACCAGTCCAGAGCGTGTGCCGATGTTATTGGTGGCGTCGCAGACGTACGTCCCTCCGAACTCATAGGTCACCGGGCCTTTGAAGAACAGGGTGTTGTTCTTGATTTCAATATTGTTGGGAAGCGATCCATTCAACCTGAGAAAAACAGACAGATAATATTTTTTAGCTGACCCGTATGGAAACAGAGTTGGCTGGGAGACAACACCAACTCACATTGGGTAAGACTGGGATGGTAGGGTAATATCAGTAGACCAACTGTTACTATGAGGACAGATTCAATCTTCTTTGTTAAAACAAACATACCAAGCATACCAAGAACTGCACATCTCAAACCGGCAGACGTGAAGGGTGGTACTACAAAACGAGTGAACGGGCCCTTACAGGCCTGAATGTTGCCCCAGGAAAGAGGGAGTAATTTGAAATGGTCAAAACAAACAAAGACATACAGCAGAGATGTCACGTGGAAAAAATTTGTTGTTTTGCTGCCACTCTTTCGGTTCTGGGCTGCTGCACCTGACGCTGGATCCCAAGTGATCAAGATAAACCGATCAAGAAAAATATGGAGTCTGACTTACAATGTGGCTACACTTAGACTTTAACTGTAGTGTCCTAATTCTGGACTCTTCATGGTTCAACTGCCCCGCGGGTCTAGACCTGCCTCATTCTTCTTCTAAAGTTCGACAGAGGTCACAATCTCTGGCAGATGTTCTTGTGGCAGATGTTCTCTTTGCCTCTTATCAGAGAACATTATAACGATGCCTCCCCAGGTACCAGACACCTTCAGATCATCTTGTTCCCACTTAACAAGTTCCTTCCTTCCATCTCAATGACATCCGGTGGTGTCTTTCAGGGTCTGGTTGACTGGTGGTGTCTAGGGTTGGGAATCGAAAATCAATTCCGATTCCAGAATCGGATACTTAAGGTCAGGAATTGGATACTTGTTGTCAAATTAAAATTTAGATTCCGCCTATCGATTCCTATGTGCTTTTTTTTTCTTCATCTGTGAGGACCGGACCTATCGATCTGCAAGGACCTTGCTCGCTAACCTAAGTGCTCCAAAGTTTGGCTACATTTGCGATCAGTAGCCAAAAAAGCTAAGTATAATATCTGTGATAGCTAAACATGTTGCAAGAGAGGTGTCACCACCAACATGACAAAGCACTTTAATTTAATAGAT